AGAAAGAAAAAATAAAGAAAGTCACACTTTAACTGACACTTGGGAGAGCCCACTGCTGACTGACTTGCCAAGCCTCAAGAATTAAGGTAAACAAGGGTGTGAGATGAGACTGGAACCTTTCAGGTTGTAGGAGCTATTATCAACTGTCTTGGGACATCTCAGAAGTCAGCAATGACCCAGAGGGTTGTTTGACAGACGAGGGGTAGGAAAGCACTGGTTATGTCGCCTTTAAAGGAGGTAGCCTGGAAAGAACTCAGATCTGGAGGTCTGGGTGCAAATCAAAAGTCGTGCTTTATTAGTTTCCACTTATTTCCTTCAGAGTTGGAGATTCCTCATTTGTAAAATGAGTCTATTGGATGTCTTTCTTCTCTGCCATATAGCGTGGCTGTGCTTCTTTGTAAAAAAAATCATATACAAATATTTGTTGAAAATATTTTAAAGTATATACATTGCCCTATAGACTTGTGTTAGAGATAACAAAAAGAGTGCCTAGCTCAATGTCAAGGACACAGCTCAATAAATAGTCGCTAAATAGACATAATGTGACTTTCTTCTCAACTGACCTGGGCACATCTGCATAGACTGCCCGAGGTGGACAACACTGCTACCACATAGCTCTTTAAAATTCTCAACTGCTTTATGTGCTGCCTGGACTCTCTTGTGAACAACTTAGGGCTCGGTCTCTGACAGAGACAGTCCACTTTCACAAAATAAGACACCTTGTAACTAAATATCCGTGAGCCTCCTCCTCTAACCCTACTATCATCCATTCAACAAATACTACTTGAATGCATACTAGCTGTTAAAAAAAAAAGATATAAAAATAAATCATTTTCATCCTAAAGAAACATACAATTTAGTAGGCACAGAGGAATGCAGTTCCACTCACCAAGCATCTAATGAATGAATTCTAATTTGCTAGAGCTACGCTAGGAATACCAAGATTTACATGGGCTCAGCCCTGAATCATGAGCACACCATCACACTAAGGAGATCAGGCATGTATCCTAACAGCAGTAACACAAAGCCAAGTGCCAGAATTGTGAGTACACCAGAGTGAACTTTATAGACAAGCCTGGGTTCCATTCCTGGCTCTGCCACTTAACTAGCTATGTAATCTGGGCACACTCCTGAAATTCTCAGGGCCTCTATGTTCTCATCTGTCAAACTGAATAATACCACCTCCTTCACAGGACTATTGTGAGGATTTAATCAACTAGTTTCACAGCATTTAGAGTCTAGCAGTCAACAGTCAGTAGACAGTCAATAAATGGTAGCTGCTATCACTAATAGGCATGTCTTAAATATTTGCTGAGCTCTATCTAATACAGACCTAGGATCACAGGCATGAAGAATAAGACTAATTCTCCACTTTTGATATGTAAACCAAAAAAATTCATTGGCAGGATTACTCCTTTTCCAGAAATGATTCATGGGAGTGCTGTGGGAGCACAGAGAAGAAAGAATAGACAAATCTGGCCTTGTACTCTAAAACAGGGGTCCCCAACCCCCTGGCCTGTTAGGAACCAGGCCGCACAGGAGTTGCAGTGCTAGCAATCACCGCCTCAGCTCCACCTCAGATCATCAGGCATTAGCTTCTCATAGGAGCACCAACCGGTCCCTGGTGCCAAAAGGTTGGGGACCGCTGCTCTTAAACAGGCAGCTGGAAAAGTGGGTTTTAGCAGAAAGAGAAGTCAGGAATTGAAATAAAGAACAAAACGAAGAAGGGAAATTTTAGGGACTATAGCTGTTAACAGTATTCCCCAGAAGCTTCCTATAGGAGAGGGAGCAGACAACCAGAAAAGTAAGTAGGGCCCAGATCCTTGAGGATATAGGATACCAAACTAAGCAATGTGCACACTGCCACGGATGCAGATCTGGGGACAGAGAAGAAGCAATTAGGAAGATGCTCTGACAGCAGACAGACTACCAGGGGAAGAAGATCAAAATTGAAAGGCCAGTTAGAGACTGCTGGAATGGCCTAGGCAAGAGGAAATGAGTACCTGAAATAGGATGGGAAAAATAGGGGCAGTAGCTACATATGTGGGACACGGTCAGACCCTGGTAAGTGAATATTATTGCCTTAAAGAAATTAAGTCCCATATGGCCAGTTTTAGTCTTATTTCCCAATACTATTATCTCAAACTACTAAAAGTCTTAACTATGTCCAGCACTTAGTATTCCAATAAGCACTTTTTCGTTCACTTTGCTTTTCCTCTCAGAAATACCAACAGGTATTTACACAAGTGGTTTCAAAACTCTGGAGGCACTGATTTACATATAAAGAAGTTTCCCTGTAAGAATACTTGCAATCTTGCCCTTAAGAACTAAAATGTTCTTGAAAGCCAGATGTCTTTGAGCAATGGGAACTTTATTCATAGTCCTCAGAATTTAGTAGCTCCCTAGTTCAAATTTTACACATGGACATACAAGTCCTAGCCACAGATAGCACATTTCCCTATTTTCCTATTCAGGTATAAAGTGTAACTTTCCTGTTGAGTTACCGTTTGCTATTTCCTACCTATTCTATTTTGGGTATTAAAGAATAGTCTTTTGTTTTCTCCACTACTAATTATTCAGCAACTGATCTTGACCAAACTACCTTATAGGTTAAATTAAGTCTCAAACTTGATATTTATTACAAATACCTGAAGGGGCTGTTTATATATAAAGGCAAATCCTAGCCCCTTCCAGAGGTTTACTAAACAAGACAGCAGGTAAAGCCCAGGCATGCGTATTCAACAAGCATTCCAGAGGATTCTGTGCAGGTCGTCCCTAGACTAGGTTTTTGAAACACACTCCTTCAAAACCTTCTTATAGGCAGTCATTTAAGCTCATCGGTTCCCTCCAGAAGGCTTCTCACTCCCTGGTCTTCTACAGTAAGTACACTAAAAGCAAGGTCAGTTCTGCTGTTATTTACTGAGGGGGAAAGGAGACAATGGAAGAAACAACATTAAGAGGAGAAAGGTAGAAGCAGACATTTTAAAAGGCTCTCTCTCCATATTTTAAGTTGCAATTAAAGTATGAAATCTTAACCTTTTGTTTTAAGGTGTTGACTTTAGGATTATAACACTAACCCTATGAGCACTCAATTCTCCACTAAATAAAGGCCTTTCTCCACTCAAACCCAATGTTTCCTAAAGCATTTCAGAACCCACCATTTAGCCCCAAATGTGGGCAACATTTCAAACTAGCAGTCCTAAACCTTGTGTCTCTTCCTCCATGTTTTAATACTCTTAAAAAAAAAAACAAAAATAAATGATATAAAGTAGATTGGTAAGTTTACTTGAAAGAGATGTACTAAATGATTTAATTATGAATCAGTGGTGTGCTTTCGCCCATGGCATTGCACCTCCCTAAATGTCTGAAATTATCTATGATCACATGGAACTGAAAACATCAGATCAAATCAATAAAATATGTCCAAAGCTTACAAAACCAGATTCCTTTTATTCCCACTGATGATGCTAAGACCAGATCACCTGCTGAATTTATACAAAGATTAAATGCCTACATAACTTTTTAAGTGCAAATTTATGTCACAGGTAGAGCAAACAGAACAATCATACAGGAAGGAATATTAACAGACCTTGCAAACTAAAGGTCTCAGTAACACAATATATTCTAAATCAAGCCAAAGCCTTTTTCTCTCTTTAATTATTTTCCATTAATTTGCTATTTGTCTTTGAAGTCTATCTCCATTTCATATACTCATTTTTCAAAAGCAAATTCTTTTAGAAAAGGTAATAAATAAAATGCAAATTAATTGTTAACATCCTTCCTAAAGGCACACACAGCTAAATAGATTTCACATTTAACTGAAGTCTCGGGTTTATCAGAAGGCAATATTTAAGCATGTTCCATTTCTTAAAATTTACATAGATACGAAAAAGATAATCAGCAAAAATTAGAGCAGATGTATCAAGGTGATGAGCGTTATGAGGCTTTTTAACCTGGTAACCAACTACGCCTGGTGTAGAGCATCACCCATTTTGCATATCCCTTTAAACATGCACCTAGCCTCCAAGCATTTTGCCAGTATGGTTGGCCATGACCCCTCCCTCAGTGGACTGTCCCAAGGTAGCAGTGCCGCCACACCCGCCACCAGGCAAAGGAAAGATTTCTTTCTCCCTTTTCCC